TCTTCAGAGGCAGATGTTAATGTTAGAGGCAGCAGAGGTTGAATGTTCCCTCCAGTATTCCATTACATTTTGTTGCTGTGTGGCAGATGGCAGCAGAGGGGCGGTCTGACATGGAAATGAGGATGAAGCAAAGGTGTTTCACTAAATCCCTTCATGCAGAAAAATATCCACTGACATACATCAGTGCTTACTGAGTGCTTATGGAGGCCAAACAGTAGATGTGAGCAAAGTAAAGTGGTGGCCAGATAATTTCATTGGTGTTGACAGCAGGTCACCTCCGCTGATGCAGATGTTTATGAGTATGGCATGCAGACTCTTCTTCAACCCTGGTGAAAGCGTATAGCTAATGGTGGTGGCAATATTGAAAAATAGGGCTTGGCAGCTGAGATTTTGCTCTATCAAATGGTGTTATTGTGTGCTTCTTGGTCTTCTTTCATAGGTTAGTTGGAATTTGTTCATAGGCCACTCCTACCCTAGAGTCTGCAAATCACTAACTGGAAAATAGTGGTGGAGCAAAGGTCTGGAAATCACTCATATTGAATCATAGACCTATCCTACTGTCTGGGATATCATTCAACCTATTTTCCTTATACTTCTTGACTTTTTATATAAAATTATAATGCTGCTGCCTTTCCTCTATGCAGGGGACTTTATTAGCTCAGATTTATAAAGCATTTGTGTGTGTAAAATAAATAAATTTTAAAAAGAAATCAAACTTTTACAGCTTTACCACAGCTGTTATTTGCACTAATTCCTGCTCTCTGCCATGGGACAAGTGTAATCACACAAAAAGGACTACTCTTCTTTCTTGAGAAAGCTAAATTTACTGTTATCTTTGATATCAAGCAACTTAAATACATTAAATTATGGTAGGTCTTTGAAGGTATTAATCTGCTGTGAAGGTAAGTATTGTCTTCATTAAAGTCTCTGTAAGGTTCCTTGTGGAATTACATCTGAGAACATATTGCAGCTGTGGATAATGCAGTTTTGATGGCGTGGTGAGGAAGAAATCATTTGAAGGGAATGTTTTTCTCCAATGTTAGCTATAGCTGGATATATGTACTTGGTGAGCTTTGCTGTGGACTTGAAGTATAGAGAGAAATGAGTCTGTTTGATTAAAATTAGGCTATTACATTTCTGTACAAGTCAGGTTACAGTATTTTTGCTCTGAATACAGCTAATTTTCGTGGTTTATGTTAAAATAGAGCACTGGTATTAAAAAATATCAGGTAACCTTAATAATATGCTTTAAGCCATGTAAATATGAATGGATACCTTAGGATAAGAGTGCTAAATCAGAGATTTCTAGTAATTAAGCAATTAATATGAGATGGTAAAATATAACAGTTGCCTTCTGGAGCTTACAAGTTGAATTTTAGTTCACTCCCCATCAAATTTTCCTTCCCATCTCTTGGCAAAACTCAATTTTACTCACAGCACTGTGTGAAAAACTTACCATCTGCCAGAGTCGTAGTGCTACCAGAATAGACATTACACAAATGCACATATCTGAGCAGTTAAAACAGAACAGGTTGTGATCTGTACTTCTATAACTGTAACCAAGCTTGTTTGCATTTTATGTTGTGCTTTTCCAAAGTAATAGTGACTTTGAGAAAGGGGGAAAAAACAAACAAACAACAACAAAAAAAAAAAACAAAAAAAAACCAAACCCAGCCCATTGTAAATTGTTTAGTTACAACATACTTCACAATTCTAAGTAAAAGCAACTAACGTACAGAGAAGAATTTGATGGTACAATTTAAGAGGTAATGAAATCCTTGTTATTTCAAAGCTTACAGCATGATAACATATAAATCCAGAGACTAAATCCTACAAATAAGATGTGATAATAGAGTGTAAAATGAAGATGTGAAGAATTAACACTAATCTTCTGGGCAAATACAGCTACCACAGAGCTCTACATTATGTAGTTGTTGTAACTATGCTGAAACAACTTGGCATATTTGTGGTGTAATAATGAGTTCAAGTACTCCCCAGCTGGGCTGGAAGAAGGCATTCACATGACCTTTGCCAACCTTTTCTACACCAGAACTAAGAATGGCTTTGGCAGGTGGGCTGATTATAATTGACTGCCTTCAGCACCTTAACAGATGTGCTCAGCACACATCAGGATCAGACTGTTCTACCTTATGCAAATTAAGCACTGCTGAAAAGTGCTGGAATTTTGCTTTGCTAAGTTTTTCAAATAGGCTACCCAGTCTATTATCACTTGCAAGAAATATATCTTTCTCCTAGATATCTTTTCAGTATTTAAAGGGAACTTATAAGCAAGATGGAGGGAATTATTTATTTATTTATTTATTACATAGTCTAAAAGTGATAGGGCCAGGGGGAACGTTTTTGACCCAAAAGAAGAGAGATTTAAGTTAGATGTTAGGAGGAACAACTGCCTCACCACTAACAGTGCAGTAAGATGCTGGAACAGGTTGCCTGCAGAAGCTGTATGTGCCCAATGCTTGCGAGGCATTCAAGGCCAGGTTGGATGAAGCCCTGGGCAGCTTGATCTGGTAGGTGGCAGTCCTGCCCATGGGAGAGGGATTGGAGCTGGGTGATTGTTAATGTGTCTTCCAAAGCAAGTATTTCATGTGCTGAATTGGAATTGGAATTGGAAGATGAGAGTGTTATGTATTTCCTGTATAGCTTGAATAAGTATCAGTACAAATAACTTTAAAACTCAAACTGTCTCTCTGTTCTTTTTCATTGGTTTGTCTGCTTTTAGAAACGTTTTGCTTTATATTTTCTTGTAGCTTAACTATAGGTCCAGGTATAAATCTGGGTTCTTCCCACCTGTTTCTTCACTGCACGTAGCTTGTCAGTTAATCTCTTATGTGGAATTAACACTTCGCTATTAGCCTTAGAGATTTTAAAAGTGAGATGCATTAGTGCATTAGGGTCATGCTGCTCTCTAGGTAAGTGTTAGATGAATCATAGTATGTCTTCATAAAGACTTCCTACGGCTTATTTGAATCTTAGAAGTGCCTTCAAGGGAGAAATAGAAGACAGCTGTCAAGAGGTAAAACTTTTCTGACAAGATCTGTCTAAGAGACTAAAGAAAAATTAATAAAGCAGAAGAACGTCAGTGGATCAAAAAGATCTCAACATGGCATTTTCAGAACTAAAACATGACAAGGTATTCAGATTGGTGAAGAAACCTATTTCTTTAGAGATATTGTATCTGCTCATTTTTATTTTCAGAAATATCTTCCTGATATTATAAGATACCAGTACAATTTTTCTTTAATATTTTGACCTTCAGTAGAGAAACAGGACTGTGGGCACAACTCTCTTTGATAGGAAGAGAATAAACAGGTCTTAAAATCTCACAGTTCTCTAAGAACTCTTCAGGACTTTCACGTTTATAAAGATCTAATCATAGCAGATTGTGGACATTTTTTACAGTATACCTATTTCCAGCCTGAGATGTACTGGGGAGAATTCCCATTATCTCAGTGTCTTGAATTTTATCAGATTGGAAGCCAAATACATTTTTAAAAGATTTTCTTTTTTTTTGGGGGGGGGGGAGGGGGAGGGGCAGTGAGAGGGGAGCAGAATGGACACTTATACACATACCATTGCCGGGCACATTCCATAGCCATATATACACAGCTTTTCATTGATGAGAGAACTTCATTCTGTGCAAAAAAAAAAACTTCATTCTGCACAGAATGAAATTCTCCCAGATATCTAAGATAAAATTTTAGACCTACAGGTTACACAGCACTCCACATCCCAAGCCTGACCTTGGGAAATGGTTGAGGAGTGGCTTAGCTGTCAGTGTTAGTGATAGTGCCTATGTGAATGGCTAAAAGAGGCCCTAAACTGAGAATGCTGTTTACATCGCTCACCAAAATAGAAACAAACAAAACAAAACAAAACAATTTTTGATGTGGGTTCCTATGAAATGAGTGTGAGAACAGATGATCAATAATTAATGATCTGGGAAGTAAATCAGGTAATAAAGGTGGCAACATTTCTTGACAACATAGAATATTTTCTGGGATGTTGAAAAAATGGTCAGATTTTAGAAGTATTAACTGAATCCATGTGTGAACTGCAAATACGTTTCATGTAATTTCCTTATACCTACTGTATTTGTCCTTTTGTCTATTGCTAAATGCTCATCCTAAACAACTTTCTGGTTGAGTGTCCTAATGAAGTCAATACATTTTGTCATAGAAGGACAGAAAGGAAAAAAAAAGATTTGAAAAAGCTGGCAGAGGTTGAAGTTTTACTTCAATGTAGAAGGTTAACGCTTTTCTGTGAATTGTGGCAGATTCAACCTGAAGCTGGAGGAAATCGTAAGCTGGGAAGCTGAGAAGTAAAAACTGTGTAATTAAAAACAGGGTGGTATAACAGCCTTTACTGATGGCAGAAAAAATATTCTGGTACCCAGAAAGTCTCTGGGAACTGAAAGGATCTGTCTGGTCAGGTGTAACATAATTCCATTTTCTTAATTGTGGTATCTCTTAGTGTTTTGAGAAATTCCAGCTAGGGAAATTGGAGAATCTATGTAGCAGAGGACAATGGAGACATAAAGGTCGAAAAGAGGCTAAAAATATTTATTTACTCTTTGTATAGAAAGCATGGAGAAGATCAGATAATTCAGGTAAGTCTCATAACATACCAACCACGTTGATTCTTAAACTTACACATAGTTTGTAGGTAACTTTTACAGCCTCTTGCTTGTTGTGGATACTTAGGGTTTATGAAAAACAAATAAGCATTTTTCTAGAAGCATGAATCTAAAAAAATTCCTTTTGTGTTTACTAATATAGTGTTTCTGGCTCAAGATTTTACTGAGCTACAAATTGGAAATTTTTCATAGGAAATAGCAATACCTAGTCTATTTCTTTGGGTCTGAACTCTGATCATTGCTGAAGACTGAAAGTAAGGCTAGACAGATCTTTGGCTGGGTTTTGTATGTTTTTTTTTTTTTTTTTTTGGACAGCCATACATTATCTGCTCATCTTGGAATCATCCAAATGCTGGCCAGAAAGTGAGGAGGCTTTAAACTTGGCTACTGGCTACATCAGCATGTAATTCTTCACAGTGGGAAAATGTCAGCAGAATGAAGCTGAAGAACTTTCATCTATGGTATGTACCATTCAGGGCTTTTTCTTTAGACTAGATTTTAGTCTTAGTTTTGTCTTCTGGTCTGACTGTTGCTATCATTTATGCAATATATTTATAGTGGTATTAGGGAATTGGTATTGGCTTGTGCTTTTTTGTTTGTTTGTTTTACACCTGGAGCAGACCCTTCAGTTTGATTTTCTATTGATGGAATCTAATTTATGCCCACTCAGTCCATCCAGTGTGAAAAACCAATGCACAATAAATGGAGACAATAGGAGTTTTGTTTCAATTTACACTGTTATTCTGTCTGAACCAAAATGTTAATGTATCTTGGTTCAACTTTATCTTGATGTTTCTTGAAGACAGAATTTCCATTTTTATAGCAACAATGTTGATTATGGTCCAATTTAAGAGCATTATTAATGTCTATGTTTAATAGGCATGTGTATAGAAATAAGGGAAAAGATTATGCTGGATATTGTTATGGAACATATTTGTAATAAATGTGAGGAAGTCCATCATTTTGCTTGGCTACACAGAAGAAAAATAGTGTGATGAAATCTCTGACTAAATAGTCAAGAGCAAATTCAACGACACTTTCTGCTTGTATTTGTGAATTGCATCTCTTTCACATAACAGAGATAAAAGTCTGATAACAGCAATGCAGACACTTGAATAAATCTACTCATGCTTGTTTACACTTAGATTGAATATTACTGCTTTTCTGAAGTGAGTGGCATAAGTCAGTGACAAACTGAGGCAGTGCCTCCACAAAGACACTGGGTCATTGAATAAAGTTACATGACTGAAGTAGACAGCTGAAAATTTTCATCTCCGTTAGGAGAAGAAAAAAAATTTGTTGATATTCCATGAGTGAGGAAATAGACATGGTGGGAATTAAGCCAGAATTAAGTATTTTCAACTTTGAAAAACCACTATTTCATGACAAGGTCATTAATGTAAGGTCAACTGTATAGATAGGGATTCCATATTCAGAAGGATTTCCCTCTTTTTTTTTTTTCCCCCCCACATTAAAGCTCTGTTTCATGCTGAATTTTGAGAGATTCAGAGCTCATTTGAGACATAAATTTAAAAGTCTTCTGTATGACTTCTTGAAAACTTTGGCAGTATATTATCATCTATTATATGTCATCTGAGATTGTTTGGGTAGAAAAATGTGAATTCTAACTTTCAGTGCTTGCTTCAGACTTTTTTTTTTATTTTTAAATAATGTTCAGACTATATTTGTCAGAGGACTAAATATGTCAGATAAAAAATCACATGAAACACTTCAAAACTCTCCACAAAAACCACTTCACTGCCAAAATGAATGAAAACTTTCAACACCCAATGAAGTCAGTGAGAACTGAGAGATTCCTCTGGAGATATGAGTGGTAAATTTTACTTTCAAGCTTTCTCTGTATAACACATCCTGCTCTTGCATCTGTTTGTGCTATATCCTTTTTTTCTTGGTTAGAAACTAACATCTAGGTTTGTCTACAGGTTTATTTAAGCCAGGCAATAGATTTTAATCCATGATTAACATTGGTTTTGTGTTTATTTTAGGAGGAACAAAATGTAGATTCTTCACTTGGATAATGGGAGTAGGAGTCTTCTGGTACAAGGCAGGTACAAATCATATTTTTCTTAATGAAGTCCTAAAATTTATTCAGTTGCACAGAAAGAACATGCAGCATCACATAAGATAGTCCTGAAATAAGCTTGTGCTTTTGTGTTTTGTTTTTGAACATAAAAATGACACGTATTGCTGGCTCAGTCTAAATAATACCTTGTTTCTAAAAGCTTTTCCACATTAGACTATTACAGTCTAATGATTATAGTTGTACTTTATATACAAATGGTGTCATAATTTAGTGGTAAAATAATAAGTCATGCATACACAAGTTGCAACTAATTATAGCTGTTGAAAAATAGTCACTTCCATGCTTGTTACTACCTCATTTAATGCAAGAATGATTCATCTGCTATGCTAATGCTCCTTTGAATGAGGTAAGAGAAAAACTCATAGGTTGTATTGGACAAACCCATATGTATATACACTGGGGCTTTGTCTTGTGCTTTTGTATGGACTGTGACCATATGGTAGTCTATTCCTATTGGCAGTATATGATAATCAGCTGAACATTTAATGTATAATAACATGATGTGTCTGTGTAATGGGGCAGAATAAAATGCTTTTTTTTGAAATGGGTTTTTTTATGTTGTTATTGAAATTTACTTTGTTGTTAGTACAGCCATACATTTTAAAGTAGTAGTTGTGGATGTTAGGGCATGAAAGAAGCTTTGCGGCCTCTAGGGTGAATTATGAGGTAGGTAGTATTCTGTGGAGAATTTAGCCTTTAAGTTATAATAGAAAGGCATAATGAAAAGAGAATAGCACTTGCTAAGACTGCAACCATTCTTCAATGAAAGAATGGATTTTAAATATTGTATGCTGATAAATGTTGGTTTTCTTTGTTGTCTTTGCAATCTTTAATCTGAGCATGAGGAAAACTTGAGAAATTATTTCTAAAGCAAGACTTTTAGGAAATAGACAAATCTTATAAAGCTTTCACACATTCACATTTCCCAAAAAATAGTAGTGATCACTCATCCCATCCCAATACTGACTGTCAGCTTAAAATTCAATTCTCTTTAAGTAAGTAGCAAAACAAACAAAAAACTTATGCTCTTGCTCCCCTTACCTGTAGAACACTGGGACACAGTGGGCTCTGTGGAGTAGCAGAAGGGGCTTCATGCGAGAAGAGAATTAATAGTGGATCAGAAATTAAACTGATGTGGATATTTTGTGCTTGGTGATCTAGGAGATAAGAAGATGATAATGGTGGGAGAAAGGAAGGAAAGAATGTAAAAAAGAGAAAGTAATGGAGTATGAAAAATAAAGAAAAGGAGAGTAGTAAAGATAAACAAATACAAAAAAAGAAACCTTTATCCACAAGATGTCATCCCTGGCTTCAGGGAATTATGTTGCCAGAATCCAAGATAACATTTGCAGAAATAGATATCAATATGTGCTATGTACTTGTCTCTCAGTCATAGTCTTGCAACTTTTGGTCCTAGATATTGCTGTAATAAGGCCTGATACTAGCTAGTTCTGTGTGATGAGCAGAGAATTGCATTCTTGTGTTCTTGTTACATTTTGCAAGAGTGGTGATGAGATTGAAATCCAAATGCATAAAAAATCAGACAGCCTTATGAGTAGAATGAATCATTATAGTTTGTTTTCACTTTTGCTGCTTGAGGAAGTGATTAGGAGGCTGGCCAAGGAAAGACGAATGTCAGAGTCTAACTGCCCTCAGGTAAATTATTATATCTGGCTCCAGGAATGATAAACACAGAAAGAAAAATACAGAACAATCTCACCCAAGGCATTTACAGCATGCTTATGTTACTGGTGTGGTAAAAGTTTTTGTTGCATACTGTGTGGAAAGAAATAAAAAATAAAATAAAATAAAAATTAAAAAAAAAAAAAAAAAAAAAAGAATGTGATTCCTTGTTTCTCAGCTGAACTCCTGATGAAACTGTGATATTCTAGTGGGAAGGCTACTAAGAGTCCACTGTTAAGGTCTGCTAGTCACCAAGGGGAAAGCAAGGTACCATTGTGTCTAATAGAGTTCAGCTGCCTCTATTATTACTTGCAATCATAGCTTTGTAAAATTGGGTTTTTCCTGACTTTAGTTAAAAATGTTTTTGGATTTCAGTCCTGTTTTCTGTCAGAGTGAATCAACTATTACTGAAGGGAACAAATTTTTTAAGGGTTTATGCATCTGTTCATCCATAGATTTTTACATGTCTCTTCATTATTCTTGTGTCTCTGTTTTCTCTGCCCATAGTAGTTTAGCATAGTTTTGAATTATGCAATAAATATGTAAATAGGTACACATAATACATGTGTATTTTTAAATTAATATCACTTATGTAACATATACATATCTGTTTTGTATACATGTCTATTTTATATACATACATATATACATAAATATGTGTTAAATATATTTTTTAATAATCATTATGTACCTATATGCAAACACATACAAAATACTGGTATGTAGACAAATATTTTTTTATTTGTAGAAAACTGTAATTGTTTAAAAACTGTATCACTGTGTAACGTCCTCTGAGATTACTGTTCTGTGTAAGTCTACCTGGGGAGGAGCAGGCAACCCAAAACCAATATTTGCTGGGACTCACTGATTGGAAAGCAGTTTTGTGGGAAAGGATCTGGGTGTTCTGGTGGACACCGAGCTAAACAGGAGCCATCAGTGTGCCCTTGCCACAAAAGAGAAGAATTATATCCTGGGCTGCATTAGGCAAAGAATTGACAATAAGTCGAGTATAGTGATTCTTCCTTTTTACTCAGCACTGGTGAGGTCACATCTGGAGTGCTCACAGTCTTCATATGTCCTTTGATTCAAAGGAAGATTCATGAGTGCTTATGCTTTCCCTCATTACTGTGATACATCAGGATGTAAAAGAAATATGTTACAGTAGTTTACTTCAATAAAGATAGAAAAACTGATTTTTATAAGACTAAACTGGCAATTTACTACAATCAAAAAAGAAGAAATGAAATTATTTGTAAGCCTAATACAAGGAGCTAAAAAGAATGCCATTCATAAAATCAAAATTTTTTGTAATAGGTATAAAAATTCTATAGATTATTCTGTTTTTAAGAGGAATGAACCAGCCTGAAGATTCCTCATTAACTTTCAAGGGCCATTTGGCAGATAATGGAATTCATCCACTAAAGCATTTATTTATCCTGTCTTACAGATACACATGCTTATCTCTGAACAACAAGATCCCCTGTAGGAGGAAAAATCTTGTCTGCATTGAGGCCAGAAGAAAAGTGGTAGAGAAATAAAATGGGGAGGGATGAGGTTGGGGGTAGATCAAGCAAACTGAAAATAATAATAATAAAAAAAAAAAGTCCACATTATAATGAACTGGAAAAATTGGATAACTACTAGAGGCCTGCATTTTTATTTTTTATTTTCCAAAGAAAAGGAAACAGCAACAGCAAACCCACCAAGATGCAATTCAAAATTGATAGACCACCTTCAAAAACATAATGGGGGTATATTTATGTAGGGTTTTTTTTGCAAAACCATAGAAAAGTTGAGGCTGAATTTTATCCCCATCTGCACTCTTCCCTTTTCCCCAAGATTTTGATATCCTTTTACAGTGGAAGAGGTCAAGCCTGTGAATCTGTGGTTTACTAAAGATGACATTTTAAAGATTGGGAAACTTCTCAGTGGAAATCAATGAGTGCAGTCCTTTTGGGTTTTGAAAATATAAATTAAAGAAAATTGAGTATCTGACCTAAAGGGTGAAACCTATGCAGGAACAAGAGAAAATTGTACTTTAGAAGTCAATATCAACCGAAGTTTCTTTCTGTTAAGAAATTCAGCAGTACAAAATATTGAGGGCACAAGGTTGCAGTGAAGTTTGTGAATTTGTTTTTAATTATTATTTTTGTTGTTATTTGTTGTTGTGTTGTTTTTTATATTATGTGGAATGCCAATCACTACTTACAAACAAATGTCATGATTTTCACTGAATGAAAAACTTTGTAGTCACTGCTGCATTATTTTTGATATCCCTATTCCTGATTTTTCCAACTCCTTGTGCTGGAGATTGCACTTCAATTTAATTTTTACATGGAGAAAGTGAAAGAAAATGTAAAACAAGTTAGGACTCACTCTCTAAGATGTTAGTTGCAGGAGGTGATAGGGTACGTACTGTGTATTGCATGGGATTTTATGTTAGGACCTCTTACAGAAGATTTTCTATTTAGTTTCCTTATTTTTCATCACCAAATAAAGCCTCTTGATGTTATTAATAATGAATTATTATCTTAGCTTGCTTGTATCTGACAAGACTGCATGTAAAATGACGTGTATTTAGCACTGCAGAACACTAGGAGAGCAAGACTTCAAAATGAGCAGTTGCATTAAAACCATGCATTCTTTATGACTGTGAATTAAAAAAAAAATCAGTTTTGTACATTTTCTGAAAACCAAGAGAGTCTAATGTATTTGAGGACATTTTTTATATGTGTGCTATAAAAAAATTGCTCTGTGTGACAATATGTAAATATATGCATAGCTTGAATATTTTTCAGACTTCTTAGATACTATACCCCTTTCTCCTTCCAGCCCTTCCCTTGGGACATCCAATTGAAGTATGATAAAATGAGTGCATATATGAGCTCATTAATACTTATCAAATGTTTCAAAAATTACAGGATTATAAAAATACCGAGTTTTTCAAAACTGTGTTAGTATCTTTCATTTCAGAAAGCACTGATCCGAGGAAAAATTGATATTCCCCTCCCTAACCTATCCTACAGTTTTCAGAAATTGATATCCTGAAGCTGATGTATGAATTACCAGCTTTCTTGGATAGAGCATCTTCTGTTCTGCCCTCTGCTTCAAGCTCTGATGAGATTGCTTTTTAATGCTGGCTCCACTTATAACTTTATTTGTATGGGCACGTGCACTCTTTTGCATTCTCAAATGAGTTGAGAGAGACAACTGAATTTGTAAGTGCAAATAGCCAGCTATTGTATTCAGATGTGCCTGGGATAGATTCATATGCATACATAAGGCTTGTGAGCAACTCTGCTGATTATCAACAGGGAGTTTAGGGATGTCAATTACACTGCTCAGTGTCATTGGAAATACTAATCTCTTGTATCTTAGTTGAATAAGTGTTCTAGTTTTACAGTGGGTGGAATTGTGTTTGCTTTTCAGTGCCTGCATTATTGTACTTCTCATAAATAAATCCTTCTGAGAACTGTGTTTGAAGTTTATTTCTTTACGTGTTTCACCTAGCTATTTCTTTTTTTTCATCTCTCCATTTAGCTTTTGTTGTCTTCTTAGGAACATTTTAGAGAAAGTCCAGATTATGTTTCCTATTATGGTGAGTTTACAATTCATTTTTGAGTGTAGGAGTGCATTTGCAAAGCTAATAGGATTACTGTATTTTTTAAGATGAGGGTCCCTAAATTCTTTTTAAATCACATCCTTTTTCTCATAGACAGAAGCTTGCAATCCTTAGATACCTGCAAAAGCATCTAAGGATTTTGAGCATCCAGTCTGGTGTAAGTAGTAGAGAGAACAGATCCTGCAGTCTTTAGTTATCATTTCTTCATGCTGTGGATGCTTGGAAGTTGATCAGAGTAACTTTGCTTTAGAGCACTATGGAGTCATCTTCTGCAAGGAAAAGAATTCTTTTAATGTCTAATATTTAGAGCTGTATGAGATCTAAAATAAGGGTCTTTTGCAGCCCTCAAACTCCTTATAATTGGTTTGTAAATTAAACTAGTTTTTGCTACCTATCAAATTCCCAATCAACTTTTGTGTTCTAAGGTCTTAGTGAAGGTATTCTATCCCAGTGTGCCCAAAGCACAATTTTGCAGTCTTGCAGGTGATAATGAATGGGTTTTTTTTCTCTTTCTCTCTCTCTCTTTATTTATTTATTTATTTATTTATTTATTTTAATCTATAGAGTTTTCATAGTTTCCCTTAGATATTTCTCAGAATGTGAAGGTCTCCCTTATCTTTCCACCATAGATGAGTATTGATTATTGTCTATTTAAACTTTGCTTTTAAAAGCAGGAACTGGAACATTTTCTCACTTTCAGTTTTGAATTCCAACTCTGCAGATGTTTAAGCTGACTAAAAAAAGAAATTTCTGTTCCCTGAAGACTTCCAAGAGTTCATAAGCTTGTTTTGTGGCTGTATAAGATTGGGTTGACAACTTGGAATTTCATTTTGATGAATCTAAAGTACCATCAACATTTTGACGTTACAGTATGCAGCCTTCAATTATATATAAGTGATGGCTTTAAATAGAAAAGATGTAAGTTCCTTCTAAAAGTGTGGGCTAAGTAATACTCTATCATGAAATTTTGATTTTGTCGCGTCTTTGATGGTTATGACTTCTGTCACAGAAAAATATTTGACAGTTCTAATTGAAAGCAGTGTTTAAATTAGAAATGGTTACCAAGGCTTCATGTTTTAATTTATATGTTGAATGGGAGAGGTATGAAAAGTTAAGCTTCTTAAAATTCTGCTTTGAATACTTTGAAGAACTATGTCATACTGTACAGAAAAAATGTGTGCGCTACACCACAGAAAATGAAACACAGAATACTTTGAGACTTTGAAGTCTTGAGTTTGAAATAAGGTAAATTAAATGAGTAACAGTTTCACAATCTCTCAGACAAGTTTTACTCAGAATAATTTCTCTTAATAGGAAAAAAATGATGCTGAGAAGAGTGATTAGCAGTGATGATCAAAGGAGATCTGGGGCTGAGAAGTAACACTTCTGGCCTTTCTGTAAGTCATATACAAGGATTTTTTTTTTAATTTTGTAGTTCTTTGAAACCTTAATTTGATAAGGGAATTGCTTTATAAGGGTAGGATAGCATTATTAGCTCAATTTCACGAGTTAAAATTGCAACATTGAGAAATAAAGGAGGAAAAATTTTCCAAAGACTCAGGTTTAAATGTGACCTCTGAAAAAACTTCAGTGACAGTGGCTTAGGTTTGTGAATAACTGCATGTCTTAAAAACTGTTTAAAAGTCCTTTAAAAGTAATATCCAAAGTCTTTGGATTCAAAATGCAGAATGAACTTAGTTATGAATGTCCCAAAACTTTCTTACTGTAAGATTCTGATTTCCACTTTTTTTTTTCCCTCTTGCAGTAGGGTTTCATGTGCATCTCAGCATGAGTCAAAGTCCTCTCTTCCTTACTGTTTTGCCAGAACAGGCAGATAATGGATCATTCAACATTCTTACCCTTCTCAGTTCGGGTAACTTGTAACCTCCTTGGTCTCCAATGAGAGATCTCTACATGAGACAACTTGTCATTGGAGCCTGCTTCATTCCTCTCTGATGAGCTCTAGGCAGGTAGTTATGATTTATTGATATTTCTGGTCACATACTTTGCAATGTAGTTCATACACTGCACATTTTTGACTTGTTTTATGAACTGTATTTGGCTAGTAGAGTGTTTTAGGGAGCTATGGAGGCCAACTGAGTAGGTGACTCATAGGGGTGGAAAGACACAGGCAAAGTGGGAAAGCAAAATGAAAGCAAGTACTTTATTTATCTACTCCTTTCTGATGTGATCCCCTTATGAGTACTAAAAAGCCCCAAAATATAGGTTTATCTTGTTAGAATGGGAGCACTCAGACTCACAGTCTATGTCATCCAGCTACTGACATTCAGTAGGTGGCAGAAGCGTGATTATGGACCAAAGAACAATATATTTGAAGTAGAGAATTCTCTATTTTAATTCTGCTTTTTCATTTCAGGAAAAGAATATGTAATCAAAGCCAATTAAACTTCCTTTGGGAGGGTGATACCAAAGGCTTATTTTCATGAAACTCTTCCCTGAATTTGAAATATTTTAATTCACTTTAAAGTGAATTGTTCCTCAACTGACTCATGGATTTGGTTGAAACTGGTTCCAAAGCTTCTCCTACTGGTAATTCTTAAGTCCTGAGCCTGTAGAATTAAGGAAATCGCTTAACTTTGTATCTACTTGTTCTGCTTTTTGTCTGTCAGTCTGTGACAATGTCAAAGCATAGCACAAAAGTCTGAATTCCAGTTAAAAAAAAAACAAAACAACAAGATACAATAAATCTCTCCATGCAGTTGCCTGAATTTAGAACAAATGTAGAAAAGAGACTTTTCTCACAGATCTGGCAAGGAAGACGAAGTTATTACATTGTTCCCTTGCTGAAATCAAATTCTGAAACATATCGAACTCCTAGTATTCCAAGATAATTTGATATGGCCTGGAACTTTTCACTAAGATGCTCTTCATGTGGGAGGTTTTGACCAATATTCTCCTATGTTTTTATAGTCAATAGAATTTAACTAATTACTGAATGGTGAAGATGATATTTCTTATGGTGGGCTTTTGAATTATACAGCTATAGCACTTTTGTCTCTATTATTGTATAATTGTACCTTCAGTGTTAAGTATACGTGAGTCTGTTTTTGATTTTTTATTTCCTTTTGCTTATTTTTTTTCCTCTGGACTTATGTACACTCACTTTGATTTTGGAGGAGTTTTGCATTGATACATGCAAATGAATTTCCACTGTTCCTTGCATGTGTGTATAAATGCAATTGCATTAGTAGCTCTGAAGTGAGTCTCAGAAAAAAGTGCAAAGCTGGAGATGGGCAGAAGTGCTAGTATGCCCAGAGGTTTGTTTGTTTTTTTTTTTAAGTTGAATTTCAGAAAGGGGCTGAATTAGTTCATGTTTCTTTTTTGAGAGGTTTACAGGGAGTAAGGCATATAGTCTACTGGGAGACTAGTTATATGTAAGGCCTTCAAATAACATTTCACCATTTGTGACTGAATGTAACTATTATTATTGTCCCTTTTAGTAATGCATGGACAATACACTGGAAAATGCTTGCGAAAAGTGTTCTTTGTTAATACAGATTTGACAAGACAGGATTCTGCAGTGGGATGTACAATATCTAGATTAATTGAAAAAGCAGGAAAGCTGCTTCAATCAGATGGTGGTATAAAGAATAGGGAAGCTGCATACTCTTACTAAAAAAAACTCAATAGCTTGTTAGCTATTATCAGTAGCTTAAACCTTCTCGTTCAGATATCAAGAAAGATCTCTTGAGAGGTCTTTCATATTTTGTACTATTCAGCTGCTAAATTATCCTGTGTATATTGAAGTTAATAGCTGAAGTGAACAAATAATACAAACATTTGCTCTTCAGTGATAAGCTTAAGTTCAGCTGTCCCTCTCACCAAAACTTAATCTTCATCCATCTCCAATTTCATCTTCATCCATCTCCAAATCCAAAGTATTTTGTGAGTGGCAAAGTAATTCAAACAAAATTTCCTATGATATTCAGTTTACTGGCTAGGTTATCTGCCATCTACACATGCACATTGAGGATTTTATTCTGGTGAATTTTCTGCTGTCATATAGTAAGGATTCAGTTCACAGCATGATTTTTTCATTATGGTGCTAATATCCCTTTTTATCAGCCAGTCTATCTAGATTAACAAATTCAACAAGAACTTCACGTCATCACAATATCTGTTCTGTTTAGTTGTTTATTGGAAAATCACTGACAGTAGAAGAGGATAGATATGTGCACATGCAGACAGTTCAAGATTGTGAAAGATTTGTCTCCTTATACACAAGGTTAGCAAACATCTGATCAGAGTTAGCAATCCATTTATGGCTGTTCCTGCCCTTTACACAAATAAACAGCTGCTTGGTAGTACAAATGGTCACAACTGCACATTCAGCTCTTGAGTCTGTGCATATGCGAATTAGATGCATGGGATCTGTATTATCTTCTCTGTATCAAGGGAAAGTCAGTAAAGCTGTTGATTCCTATCACTGGAAAAGAATGCAGCTCTGGTCCTACAAGCTCATTGTTATATGTGTGAGACAGCTACTGACTTTCATGATTATATTCATTAGGGACATTTACCTGACATTTACTCTCCCTCTGCCCTCAGACTGCCCAATAGGGAATGGTTTTGTGTTGAAAATAGACCTGCCTGCGAATCATCTTGCATCATTAACCTGAAGTTATTATTTTGTATGTAAATATGGCTGTTACAAAGAGAGTAAATATACAAATTAATTAAGCCTGCTATAGGAGTGTTTTGAATGAAATTTAGTTAATCCAGCAAAAGGCTGTACACTGTATTTTAATCTCTCAAAAGAACCACAGGTTCTTTTTTGTCTTGCCTTCTCT